GGGTTCCGCCCGGCGGGCGGGCTGCTTGGAGGAGGTGACCTGGTGGCGCTCCAGGCTCTCCGCCACGCGGCTCGGGGCCAGGCGCGAGCGCCCGCGAGGAAAAAGGAAGCCGCAAGTTGCTGGGAAGTTGCTCAGGTTTCCGAGGCTTCCAGGTTTAAACTTTGCACAGGCAAAGTTTGCAGGTGGGAGCGTCTTCCTGCCGAGGAGCCTTCCTTTTTCCTCGTGGGTGTTCGCACCTGGCCCCGAGCCGCATGGTGGAGGGGAAGCCCGGAGCGCCGCCGGGTCGCCTCCTCCAAGCAGCCTGCCTGTCCACCGGGCAGAACTGGGCTCCTCGGCGGGAAGACACTTCTGCCTGCAAACTTTGCCTTTGCAAAGTTTAAGCCTGGAAGCCTCGGGAAAAAAAGGGGGATCGGCGGGGACTCACCTTTGGAGAGGTCGCACTCGAAGGTGATTTCGAACTCCCAGCCAAGGCTCTTTTCTTTCCTATCCCGAGAGTGCTCCGCACTGTTCTGCAGCTTTGGGGGCCACGCGGCGCAGGCCAATAGCCACGCCCAGCTATTTTTTTTCAGAGGCGGGCCGGATTGGACAGACCAACGGGCCGGATGTGGCCCGTGGGCCGTAGTTTGCCCACCCCTGCTATAGACCTATATCCCTATTAAATTCAGACTATAACATTTTTGCTTCAATTTTGGCAGAAAGATTAAAAAGATATTTAAATAATTTTATCTATATTGATCAAAATGGATTCCTGCCAAAGAGACAAATCAAAGACAATGTGAGAATTATTTTGGATACTCTGGAATACTATGAGGTGTATCCTGAAAAGAAAATGGCCTTGATGTTTTGAGACGCACAAAAAGCCTTTGATAATGTGAGTTGGCGATTCACCTTATCTCAATTGACTCAAATGGGCTTTGGTAAAAAATTTATTGAAGCCATTGAAATGATATACTATGAACAAACTGTAAAGGTTATGATAAATGGAAAACTAATTCTTATATCTATACATATAAGAAAAGGGACAAGACAAGGTTGTCCACTGTCGCCTCTGCTGTTTGTGTTAACTTTGGAAGTGTTGAATAAAAATATTAGAGAAGACAAAGAAATAAAAGGAATGAAAATCAAAAAGGAAGAGTATAAATTGCAAGCCTTTGCAGATGACCTGGTATTCATATTATAAGACCCATTGGAAACAGCACCCAAATTAATAGAAAAAATACAAGAACATGGAAAAGTAGCAGGTTTGAAAATAAAGGTAAAACAAAGATATTAACAAAGAATATGTCAGCAAGACGAAAGAGTTGGAAGAAGTTTTAGAAATACAGGTCACAAACAAGGTTAAGTATTTAAGGATATACATTACACCAAAATGTAGCACACTGAAAGAGGATAATTATCTTAAATTCAAACAGCAGATTGCGACAGATTTGGCAAAATGGGGAAATTTACAATTATCATTGATTAGGAGAATTTCTACAATTAAGATGAATGTATTGTCTAGAATTTTATATCTATTCCAGACAATCCCAATCCGACTAGGGAAAGTTTTTTGAAGACTGAAATAGAATTGAGTTGAAATATATCTGGCAGGGCAAAAAAAGCAAGAATAAAACTAAAATTGTTACAAGATGCTAGAAAAAGAGGAGGGTTTGCCTTGCCCAATTGGGAGTTGTATTACCAGGCAACAAATCTGATGTGGGTAAAGGAATGGATAACATTAAGGAATAGTAGTCTATTGACCTTAGAAGGGCATGACTTGTTATTGGGATGGCATGCCTTCCTTTGGTACAAGGGAACTAAAACACAGAGGTATTTTAGAAGACATTACATCCAAGAGGCATTGTTTTTGAATTGGGAGAAGATTAAAAATAATACTATTTAAAAATTCCATTATGGATATCTACCACTGAAGATTTTTCTTATCCAATAATATATAAAAAGGAACAAATAGTTAGATATGGTGAGATATTGAATGAAAAGGGTGAACTTAAATCTATGCAAGTGTTGGAAGAACAAGGTGTAAAAATGAACTGGTTTTCATATTTGCAAATACAATCTTGATTTGACAAAGATGTTAAAACAGAAGGTATTTCTGATAAGTTGACTGATTTAGATAAAATTTTGATGGGTACTGATGAAAAGGTAATTTAAAAACTTTATGGATATTTATTAGAATTTAAATTAGAGGAGGAACAAGTCAAAGAAATGATGATTGCTTGGGGGGGAATTTTTGATATGGGATTGATTTAGAAAAATGGCAAAAACTGTGGTCTCAAAATTATAAAATGACAATGTCAACTGCATATAAAGAAAATCCGTATAAGATGTTTTACAGGTGGCATCAGTGGTGGGATTCAAATTTTTTTACTACCGGTTCTATGGGCCTGGCATGGTGGGTGTGGCAGGGGAAAGATACTGTAAAATCTCCAGTCAGAAGTGGTATTTGCTGGTTCTCTGAACTACTCAAAATTTCCGCTACCAATTCTCAGAACTGGTCAGAACCTGCTGAATACTACCTTTGGGTGGCATCTACCCTCGACGAGACTTGCAAGAATGTTTAAGAATAAATTGGATAAATGTTGGAAATATCACCAGATACCTGGTTCATATTACCATATGTGGTGAACATACTCAGACGCAAAAAAATTGGACTAAAATCCACACATGGTTGGAAAAATGATAAAATAACATATAGACTTTAAACCGGAGATCTTTTCATTGGGAATTATACCGGAAAAATATAACAAAGAATTGAAATATTTGATTGTAAATGTTTTAATGGCAGCTAGGATTGTATTTGCTAAGAATTGGAAAAACGATAAACTACCTATGCAGGAGGAAGTTATTAAGAAAATTATGGATGGTGCTGAAATGAGTAAATTGACATTTGAAATTAGAGAACAAGAAGATAACCAATTTTATATGATATGGGATTTGTTTTATCAATGGTTGGACAAAAAGACATGGTAATGTAATAGACTAGATAATTCTGTGATAGAAATTTAATAGATTGATATAAAACATAATATAGACATATATAACCATTGGTTGAAAGTATAACATAAATTTTAAGATAAAATTTGGAATATCTCGTATAACATGATGGAATAAATTGTTTAGTCATGGATGATTAATAACTGACAATGTGAAAATTGATATAAAATGTGAGTAATGACTACTAAAGGATAGCACAAAAGATTTGTAACCAACTGACACACTGTATGTATATAAAATGGAAGATCGTTTTATGTTTTTATATTTTGTATGTGTATGTTTGTTTTTAAAAAAATAAAAACTTTTTTATAGAGAGGATATGGCCTTCTAAAGAGCAGTCAGTGTTGATCTCTTCTAGGGCTGACCGGTTTGATCGCCTTGCAGTCCAAGGGATTTGCAGGAGTCTTCTCCAGCACCATAGTTCAAAGGCCTTAATTCTTTGGCACTCAGTCTTCCTTATGGTCCAACTTTCACAGCCATACATTGCAACTGGGAAAACCATAACCTCGACTATACACACTTTTGTTGGCAGGGTGATGTCTCTGCTTTTTAGTATACTGTCTAAATTTCTCATAGCTTTCCTCCCACTGTTGTCCCGATCTACGGTGATCTTGGAGCCCAGGAAAATAAAATCTGTCACTACCTCCATTTCTTCCCCATCTATTTGTCAGGCATTAAGAGGGCCAGATGCCATGATCTTAGTTTTCTTAATGTTGAGTTTGGGGGTGTAATGGTTTAAATCCTAACTGAAAGAGCAGCTTCAGAAATCTATTGACTTTTGGTATCTGTTAAAGTTGTACTGGACCTGCTATATATTTAATGTATATTATAAATAATATGGCAAGTCATTTAAGTTTGATAACATGATTGGAACTGACTCTATCTTCTTTTTGCTACATTCCAGTGAGATTACTGAAATCCTAAATTGCCTGGAGGTAGGAATGAAGTCAAGTGGTACAATAAACTGAAAGTGAACCAGAGACAAACCATTCATAGTCCAACCTTGACTATTCTGAAGAACTACAATTCTGAGCCTTTTGCCATCAAGAACAACATGCTTCATCATTGAAAAAGTCACGATCCACTGATATTTTTCATCATTGAAAAAATTACCTTCCACTGACTTCTTAGTTACTAATTACAAAAGGACCATCCATAAAAATGTATTTGAATATCAATATTTACTTATTTAATTTTAGCTTAAGCATAAAGCAAGAAATGCTTTAGTATGAAGCATGGCCTAAAATATTTTCTAAGTCTATTCATATGCATTACATCTATGTATATTTTAAAAAAGAAAATTGAGCAGGCTTATTTACAGAAACACAAGGTGATTTTCATTCTGTTCCAAGTGCTAAATCTACACTTTGAAAAGGAAACCCTTAGGGATGACAGAAGGAGGTATCTTTAAAGTTGTCTTTCTAGATGCCAGCTTTGTCCTCAGGATGCAATTTACCTTCCTCCCCAAAAAAGCAGAGAATTAATTGAGTTCTCATCAGTCCCTGGCACAGTATATCTGTTCTCACACATTTTATGTCAATGTCAATATTACACTTCCCACTTCAATGAGATCAAGGGAAAACAACTTACCAATATACTTCCTCCAACCATTGGCTGTCTTGCCAGACTGACACCCATCCATTCATCATCTCTATCTTCTTTACATGTCTTTCCACAGAACGTTCCTCGAACATTAGCTAAAACAAATGCAGGGGAAGGGTGGGAACTTAGAAAGGATGAAGATGGCAGTAAAGTATATCTACAGGAAATGGCACTATAGACAACAGACCATTATTTTTTCCATCTGATGGATTCAGAATTAATCTTAGCATAGTACACTTCTCAATAAAGGAAATATTTCATGAAAAAACGTTTACCAAGTTCATCAAAGACTGGCAATTCTTTGTCAATCCTGGCATTAGACATTCCATGGAAAACCTATTTGAAATCATTATTAAGATATTGGCTAAGATGTAACGTTTCTAAAATGTTACAGTAGTAGTTATATCAGGAAAGAATGAATCTCTCATAGCCAACAGAGTCATTTCTGGCAAATTCCCACCAGCTGTCATTCAAAGACACTTAGATTGTGCTAACACAGAGGGTAGCAGGAAACATGGAGAGCAAATCATTCCAGAAATGGCAGGTTTCTTCCTATCATCAATTTCAGAAAGCTATTAAAGCAAGGCACCAAGAGCCTTTGGGGTCATGAAGGAGAAGACATAAGGGGAAGGACTGGGAAAGTACCAATATCTGAGGCAGAAATGCCTATTTCCAAATCACTGGTTCTTCAAGCTAACAGAAAATAAACACAGATAAGGACCATATTCTGTCCAATAATTCTCATTCCAATGCCTTCCCATACTATATATTTTCTAGGTTAAGAAGGTCATTTCCTTTACATCAATTTACACACAAGTAGATTGAAGATTGTTAGAAGAGATTTTATGTGAAAGGTTATATGTTTCTTTGGAAGAAAAAAATGTGTTCAAAACAAATAAAGTGAAAATGAAAGAGTTGTACTCATGCATACCTCGACCCATATCCAGTTCTGTGCACCTCCTATCAGGGTTAGTGTGAACCCGACATTTGAATACAGCTCCTGGGGACTTAAGAGAAGCACTGTACTTAGAATCTGCCTTTGGGGCTCCAACCAAGACCCTGAAAATTAAAAGCAAATAAATGTTTAACATTAAGAGAAGCAAATAGACAAGTTTCACGGTGACAACTCCTTCCGGTCTCGTTTTCCTTCCAGCCATGTAAATCAGTGATCACCACAACAGTAAGATAAGACAATAGCCTTTTCTTCAGTAAATCCATGAAATATTTGAAGGAATAGAAAACTCCAGAATGGTAAACTGAAAATGTTTCTAAGTAATATGTTCCCAGCCCCCCAAATAAACTGCTAGGAAACAACAAGAACAAAACTTACAGCTTCACCTTTTTGATAGAGATATGGTGGGGAAGCCATAATTTATTACTTAAAGCAAGAAAATGTATCATTTGTCCTTAGATCCAGAAAACCGTAGGTAGTAAATTCTGAGCTTACTTATCAGTTAAGAGATTTCATTGCAAAAGAAGAGGCACCCTTAAAAATGACAGGACAATATTTGGAGTATAGACGCCACACTTTCCTAAAAGTTATGGGATACTACCTATTAACACCATAGTATAGAAGGGCCAGGGGTAAGTATTTTAACTATTTGTTTTTGGAGAGTTATGTTGGAATGGGTACAAGTGCCCCCTCAATCCTATACTTTCTAAGGTACCCAAATGCCCACAAATTACATAATTCTGCTGTCACAATTTGGACTGCTGGAGACTAAAAATAGTTCACTCTGTTAAGTATTAAGATTTAATATTAAACCACTGTTAATGTCTAAATTTCTGTGTGCTGTGTTTCGCTCCTGGATTATCTCATAAAGGTAGTCACGCTGCCAAACGCTCTGACAGGTTATGATATAGAAAGAAGGTCAGAGTGACTGTAATGCCTAGAGAGAAAAGAAACCCAGTGTGAGCTTGCACCAGAATAAAGAAGTGGTTTAAATCATGGTTAGTGGCTTGTGAAAGAAAGCAGGCAGCATGGCCTCCGTCAGTGTAATGGGAAAAGATTTCCAGGTGCCTCTTGGCTGAATGAGACTGGGCGTTGTTTACCTGAATGCTACTTTTCCTTGTAGGCAAGACAGGTCAGGATGGGTGGTCAGGATGGGTGGACCAACCTTAAAGCCACCCGATGAGGAGGAGGAGGAGGATGGAAGATGCAGGGGTCAGGGCGAATCGAGAGAGCCACCAACCCTGAAACTCTCCTCGCCGAAGTGGCTGCCAGTAGGAAAGTTACTTTCAGAGTAAGGAAACGAAGACTGGATTGTTGAAGCGGCTCAAACAGAGGTTTTGTGAGGGACTGTAGAACCTTGGTCAGATCCCAAGTGGGGTACCTATGTACCATAGGAGGCAAAAGTTGGTCACTCCACTGAGGAACCAATGGACCGTAGGGTGCTGAGCCAAAGATTCCAACTTCCCACAAGACAAGACCGATGAGATGCCAGACATCTGTCTGAGGAGGGTGTTGGGGAAAAGACCATTGTCCAGGCCAGCCTGTCAGAATTCCAAGATTGCAGCCCCCGAAGTTAGTAGAGGAGAGATGTTGGATTTAACACACCAAGTTGAGAAGGATTGCCAAATAGCCTTATAATTGCGAATTGTAGAAGGATGCCTGGAAGCCTGAATGGTTTGGATAACCTTGTTGATTAAAAGTTGGGAGATTTTGAAGATGCCCCCCTCAATCGCCAAACTGCCAGTTGTAGCCGCTGGAGCAGAGAGACATCCTCCTGTGGAATCCTCCAAGGAGGGATCATTGAAAGGCCCAACAAATCAGCAAACCAATGCTGGTGAGGCCAAAAAAAGGAGCCATCAAAATGGTGTCGGTCCTCTCCAACAAGAGCTTTCAAATCACCGCTGGGATCAAAGGTTGACAGGCGTAAAGTAATCCAGGCAGCCAGCTGCAATGCAAGGCATTAGTGCCACCAGCTTCTTGGGAGAAATACCTAGTATAATATCTGGGCAGATGCGCATTAAGGGATGAGGCAAATAAATCTACTACTGGCAATCCAAACCTCAGGGAGATTTGCTGAAATAAGGAAGGATGTAATTGCCATTTGGTATGGACAATTGTCGTCCTGCTGAGCAAACCTTCCTGAACCAGAACTATACTTGGGTCTAATTGACCAAAGATGTCGTTCTGCCCATCTGACCAGGGACTCCGCCTCTGTCATAAGAGAAAAAGGACCTGATACCGCCTTGCCAATTAATATGGGCTTTTGAGGCCACATTGTCAGTCATAACCAGAAGATTAGATCCTGCCACCTGGGAGAGAAACCTTCTGAGGGCCCAAACTAATGGCTCTAAGCTCTAACCAACTGATGCTATGAGCCTGTTCCTGGTGTGACCACAAACCTTGAGCTCAGAGGGAACCTAAATGCCCACCCCAACCAGACAAGGAAGCCTCAGTAGAAAGGACCAGGCAGGATTCCAGCTTGAAAGGCTGCCCCTTTGGATGTGGCCCTGGACAGCCACCAGTGGAAGGAAATCAAAAAGTTGATTAGACAATGTTACTTTCCCAGGGGAATGGCTGGACCCCACTCTCTGGAAAGGAAGCAAAAACCACTGTAAGGATATGGCATGTAGCCTGGCCCAGGGAACACAGGGTATCCTTTTCCCCCAAAGCTGAGAATGAGGTCTAAAGGGACAGGACTCCTGCCTGGAATGCCCCCAATCAACTCCTGAAGGCCAACCAGTCTCTTCTGGGAGAGAAACACCTGACCCTAGTGACAGTTAATGCTCCCAAATGAAGGAGGCGAGTGGTAGGAGAGAAATGGCTCTTATTTCTATTAATGGAAAAACTCCAGGTCCTGTAGAACTGAAACTGTGACTTGCAGATCCTGCTGAGCCCTCTGACAAGACGACGACGTGATTAAATGTCATCTAAATAACATGGTAAACACACTGGAAAGGTATGGAGGTGTGCTGATAAGGGAACCAGAATCTAGATAAAACCCCCGAGGGGCAGAAGACAACCCAAAGGGGAGAGCCCTGTATTGAAAGATGCCCGTGATAACAAAACCTAAGAAAAAAAACCCTGTTGGAGGAAAAAATAGGGACATGTAAAAAAAAAGCTTCTGTCAAGCCTACTGATGTGTGGAAGTCCCCCTGCTGAACGTTTTCCAAGATGGAAGCAAAAGTGTGCATTTGAAACACTTGTACACAACACAAGTACTGAGTAGTTTCAGATCAAGAAGTGTCCTCCACTCCACCCCCCCAACCCCCGAGGCCTTGGGAAAAAACAAAAATTCTGGACAAGCATCCCATCTCCTATTGTCAAGGGGAACTTCCTAAATGGCTTTGAGGTCCAGCAAATTCTGGATGGCCGACTCCCTCAGATTCTGCATCACAGCATCTGTAGACACTGGGCAGGAGAGAAAAAAACTTGGAGGAGTGGAATAGATTCTAGTGAAAGACCTGATCTAATGGTGGACAGACCCCAGATGTCTTAAGTAATACCCTCCCATTGGTCAGCAAACCATGCTAAACAAACACCAATGGGGATAGACTGTGTCCTAGCGCTGGTGACAGAACGAGCAATTTCCTCCTCTTTGAAAGGGCTGTCTAGAAGAAAACTGCTGCCTGCTCTTGTCTGAGCGGTCAGGACGAGGTTCTGATCATTGATAAGCAGGTTTCAATAGCTGGTGGAAAACTGGAAGTTGACTCTCTTCTGAACTGTGGACGTTTGAAACAAGGAGCAGATCGATGTTCCACTCTCTGTAGAAGTGAAGGAAGAATTTTCCTCTTGACCTAGGTCTCCATCAGAAGGGGCTAAAGGACCTGACCAAAGATCTTATGCCCTAGGACCAGGGCAGACGCCAACTTTCCTTTATGCTTGCCAATTGTGTAGCCAGCACCTACATCTGGCTGCCACCGAGGAGGCAATGGCCTTTGTGGCAAATCTGGCACTAGGCAAGATGGAACTTGCCATAAAATTCAGTATCCGCTGTGATCTTGTTGATGTCCTGGTGGGTCCAGACATCCGATGAGGAAATTCCATCCCGCAGCTGCTTCAGTTACTTGAGTGAGGTTTTCATAAAGGAAGAAACTGCTGTAGAAGCCTCAACAGCCCAGGCAGTGGCCAAATGGGATCACTGTAGCGACTGTTCCACTCACTTTTCTTCTGCCTTGAGGACTTCCTTTGGGTCTGAAGTGTAGACAAGGAGGAGGTCAAAGCAGCAACCGGATAAACTGTGATGACCTGAAGGATCTTGGTAAGTGCAGGCCCCATGTTGAAGAACCTGCAATCAGAGGCCAAAGGATTGGGCCCTGTGGCAGGAGCTTCAAGCTGTTTCTTGATTACCTTCAGGAACAGCTTTGGTGATGGGACCACTTCCTTCTTGACTGCAGGCTCATCAAACAGAACACCTGACTCCTCCAGAGGGAGTATTGATGCTGTTTCCTCACCTCTGTTTTTCAATTTTGCGGTGTTTCTAGCCTTGAACAACAAGGGACTAAACAAAGAGTAATTAAAACAACCCGTAAACATCAGAATCTCCTGTGAAGGGCTTTCATCCGATTGAGGCTGATCAGGTTCACCCACCAACAATGGAGCCACTGAGGCAGCAGGAGCAAGGTCTTCAGCCAACCCAGAAACTCCTGACAAAGGAGCCTCATTCTGATAAGAGAGCTTCACAAACCCTGGATCTCCTTCCTGATGAATCAGAAGTTGCAGATGAATGACGGGTAGCTCTCTGCAAGCCTTCTGAGATGCCCTTCCTAATTGCCTACAAATTAATAGGGACATTTGAACCAGAAGGATCAGTAGGTCTGGCTGCAGGGTCAGTAGAAGTAAAGGAGGTTCCACCCTCTGTTTACTATGCCCACACTCCTGCCAAGGTGCTACTTCTCCATGAAGATCCTCAGCTTGACTGTAGTCTTCAAAAGGAATGGGAGAAGCACCTCTTCTGGAAACATCAGGTGGCCAAGTTCAGATCCCAGGTTTGGAAGAAGGCCAAGGCTCCTCCAAATCCACTTCACTGAGTGATGCTGGGGACGGGGGGCATGCAGATGTAGAGCGAGAAGAGGCCTGAGGCATCTTGGCTATTTGCTTCTCAATGGCC